AAGATATTAAACAGTACTAGTCCCAATACTCGTCCCTGCGGGACACCACTCGTCACCGATCTCCATCTGGACCTTAAGCCATTGACCACTACCCTCTGGATGCGACCATCCAACCAATTCCTCACCCACCGGACAGTCCATCCATCAAATCCATACCTCTCCAGTTTAGAGAGAAGGATGTTGTGGGGGAGAGTGTCAAAGGCCTTAGAGAGGTCCAGATAGATGACATCTGTAGCCCTTCCCATGTCCACTGATGGAGTCACTCCATCATAGAAGGCCACTAGGTTGGTCAGGCAGGACTTGTCCTTGGTGAAGCCATGCTGGCTGTCTTGAATCACCTCCCTGTCCTCCATGTGCCTTAGCATAGCTTCCAGGAGGATCTGTTCCATGATCTTCCCAGGCTCAGAGGTGAGACTGACTGGCCTGTAGTTCCCTGGGTCTTCCTTTTTTCCCTTTTCAAAAATGGGGGTTATGTTTCCCCTTTTCCATTCAGCAGAAACTTCACCGGATATATGACGGATAGTGGCTTAGCAACTTCATCCAGTTCCCTCAGGACCTGCGGATGCATCTCATTGGGTCCCATGGACTTGTGCACCTTAGATGATAATGCTTTGTATTACTGCAGAAATTTTTGGCTACCTTTTTGTTTTGCTCCCAGCCTTCCCTTGCTCTCTCTCTGAGCAAAAGAAAACAGCACCAGCTGACTCATTTTGGGGCAGATGCAGGTCACCTCCATCTCTGCTGTCTTCACCCCATGGTGTCTGTGGAGGTGCAGAAATCTGTCTGGAATGGTTCCTCTCTGGCCATTCCTAATTGTGGGATTGGAAGTAGGTTACAAGGGGGAAGTTACAAGGGCTTTTCATAGTCTTATTCATGCCTATCTGTTTGTACTCAGTCTCACAAATCCAAAAAGACAAATATGTATAGCATGCGCTGATCATTTCTTGATGATGCATACCCCTTATAAATATACTCTTTTACTATATAATCACCCCAAACAGGATTTAATGATGTGTACACACTTCTTACTTTTCAGAGGCTACATTTTTGTGAAGGTTGGATGTTGGAAGTTTAGATTTAATTTAGCTTTCTCCTTCTTTTAAATCAGGTGGCTGCTGATTGTTTTTTCAACACAAGAAATTGAGGGGGTAAGTGACATTGATATTTACTTTAGCCAGGTGATAGATAGTATGGTATAGTTCAAACAAGTAACACTATATACACCAAAATGACCTATAGTTCTGAGGGAAAACTGTGATGTTTCTTTCAGTATTTCTGCAGTTCTAACTTTCCTTTCTGTTCCTGTTGCTCAGCTTAACTATTTTGGAATTGTCTCCTTTGGATTATTCTAGATTCTAACTCTGGCATTTTTAGATGCTTTTGGAAAGCTGCATGTAAAAAACCTCTCTTATGCACTGAATCCGTCTCCTTCCTCATGAAGTCCCTTCAATGGCTCTACATTATAGCATATATCAAACCCTAGCTTTCAAGCCCTTCTCTGTACGTTAGCCTAGATCTTAAACTGGCCTCCCTGTACATTCCCATCTCTCTGAAGCCAAAATTCTACATATAATATAGCCTCAATATCTACTTTATTTTCCTCTCTGTACTGTCCTCCATATTAACCTTATGTTTGCAATGCCCTCACTGAAACTTCTTTCAAGTCCATCCTCTTTGTTTCTTTCAAATATTTAAAAGCTCTTTTTTGTTGTTTTTCCCCCAAAGTCATCCCTTTTTAGTTGAACTGTTGAAAATTGAAATATTTTTTAAAAATAAATGTGTTCAATTAGAACAAAGGGTAACAGCTTATGTGTTATTAGAAACTTGCATTCCATTGACATTCCAGTAGAGGCAAGTTTTTAATAACTACATGAGAGAGTAGTGTGGAGTAGATTAGTAATTTCATGGGAAATCCAGTGTGTGAAAGAGAAACGGCCTGTGAGAGAGACCATCATACCCTGTTGTTCTGAGATTTGGGAGTACCAGATATTCTAAAAATATTGTAGATAGAAAGAACAGAATTTTTCCTCCTTATCTAATATTGGTCAGTGTTTTCTGCTTGAAAAATTGAAGTATAAACCTATAGTGTTCTGTTGGTTATTAAAACCAGTAACAAAACAATGTTGACCTTGATAAAAAAGAAATCCACACTGAGCAAATATTTTCATGTTATCACTGTTTACTTGTTTACCTAAATTATTCTTAAATATTGTAAGTCCTTGTCATTCTTTTCAAAACAACTTTGATAATTTACACAATTTTGTCGAAAAAATAACGTCACCTAGTGGACATTCCAACCATCTAAGTGAGTTTATAAATGCATATGTTGTGTATAATTGGTATATGTTTAATACTATACTTTGGGAAATAGAAAAGAATCATGTTCACTTACCACACAATAAATCTACTTAATTTACCTTTTGTTGTGTTATAGCTTCTCCTCATATGCTTTCTTCCCTCATTGCAATTTGATGAAAAAAAAGTAGTCACTTCTTTGCTATTAAGAGGACAATGACAGAAAGTTTTAATACAAGAAATAACTAAATTAAGGGTAGGCAATACATAATTACACCATGCACATACTTCTTTTTTCATTTAATAGACAAGAATTAAATACAAGGCTTTATCGCTGAGTGGCCTTGTTGCTCTTCAGCCTGTTTTGCCTTTTATCATTTAATTGTAGTTAAACAATCTCCTAACCTAATGTGATGGGTTACAAATTTCACATTATTACAAACTCAATTCTGACTTTGTTAAAATTTTTTCTAGATGGAGCCTATTTCCTTAGTTGTATTTAGCTGTAATATTTAGCATTACTTAACATAACTTGCAGGTAATGTCTTTGACCTTCTACAGCAACAGTAATAAGCTTTTGCTTATTGCTTCTACTTTGCCAGCATGTTTATGCTGATGAGAGGTCCAAGAAGGTTAGGATTTTAAATGTGGTATTGATGTGTGTATTCTATTAAGCAAGCATTGGAAAAGGTTCACACGTGTCAAGCTGAGATCTACACAATGTTCTGATGCTTGCTGCTATGCCAAGTTTCTTCATCAGAAGGAAATTTCCCTGTGGGTATGCAAGGGTAGCCAAATCTTTTGCCTTAAAAATCATCTAATTGGATAATATGTCCAGTTGACAATATTTGATGAAGTGATTGTTGTCTGTTCCTTACTGATAAATCCATAAACTTTTAATTTTTAGGGAGGATATGCATATATTGACCCCTGTGGGGGACAGGATTGTTCAGTTTGTCGGTGCTTTCCAGAAAAAGGATCAAGAGTAAGTGATGATTAGAACTAATGATAATCACTTGTAAATACTGTTCATTTTGTGCACAGTGCTGTTCTGTAAAATCAATATGGTTGACATAAATCAGTAAATCAATATTCAGACATAAACAAGCAAACTAGCATAATTCTGTCACTGGTATGAAGTACAGCTATCATTGAAAGAAGTTAAGATTGTTTGTAAACAAGTTTGCTTGTAAATTAAGTTTATAATAATCGTGGTGCCTTTTTGTGTTAAGGATTCTTTGAGATCAATCTAATAGTTAGACAAAGGTCATTCTTAACATATATTGTTTAGAAATCTATGCTTGTTTTCTACTAAGAGGTTGATTAAAAGAGAATGTCTATGCCATTTACTAGTTTTATGACAACTTAGGTGTTTCTTATTTGGGTTAGGTGATTCTGGAAAAGCTCGCAGACTTTTTATTTTACTAGTTTAATGCACAAAGTATAAAAAAAAATCTGAATTGTCTTTGCCTTATAAATAATTGTAAAACATTGAATGAAGCCAAGACGTTTTCATATTATACACTAAAATTAGTAACTGTGCATGTTGCTATTTGTTAATTGAAATATGGTCCAGTGATGACTAGTTTGTTATCTTGGCTGTTCTTCCTCAAAATACGTATCTATATAGTGATAGCAAACAATTTAAATGTTACATGAGGAAAGGACTTATTTAGATACATGCCCTGGTTAGGGAACAACTGAAAAATTGTCAGTTAGTGATGGAAATTGTTTTCTTTCAAAGTACTAATATTAAAGTTTAGGGTTAGAAAGCTTGAACATGGTGGACCAGTTTTTAGAAAAGCTGCATGCCCCATTTGTTTGTGTACAACCTGAGTCGCCACAACAGTAAGACATACTGTTTCCTTCCTGTGCTTCTGCAGTTAGCTGCATGCTTTGCTGTGTCATGATCACTGCCCTGGTGTCCTTGGATCCTATCCTAATCCTCCAGGATTATGTCTATACGAAAGTCCCCCATGCTGTAGGATTTTCATAATAGGGGCCTAGGATGCGTCTATCTCTGTAACACTGTGTTAACAAAAGGGCATCCCAGGAAAAGTATTTTGACTAGCAGTGTTGCAGTGTCTCTCAATGCTACTGAATAGATTGTTTTGGATACCAAAAACCTGATCTGAAGGGCCTTTTAAAAACAACTGACTTTGAAACTAGAGGAAATTTCCTTGATTCTGGTTCTCTCTCAGTAGCCTGGAAGTTCTGAATTACATGCCCGTAATCAATCAATAATAAATACTCACTGCAGTCGTTATGGCTCTTTCCTAAGCTGTCCTCCCTACCACAGGTAAACTGAACTATGATTCATTCATTTTGCAGTTAGTTTTCTAAATACTTACAAGGATCTGGACCTAAGTGCCAAATAGAAGTGTAATAAATATTTCAAAATGAATTCAATGTCATTATGCAAATATAAGTCTGAGAATTGTACCATTTTCTGAAACAGCTCTGAAATACGTATGCACACTGATGGATAGTCTTTCCAATGCAATATGAATTTATATTTCATGCAATCATTTCTATTAATCAATAAGCAAGAAATAGAAGTTACTTATTAGACCCCACATGAAATATGGCTTAACTAAACACCACTTTACATAGATTGTTGCAGATATTTTCTATACTAATGTATGGTGATGAATTATTTTCTACAGGATTACTTAATCTTTTTTTCATCCTACGATCCTGCTGATTTCTAAACTATGCTGTGTTCTGCCTTTACACTCTGACACACTAAGTTTGCTTTCCTAGCTTTTGTGGAGACTACCCATTACAAAATAAAAGATATGTTTATCTTATTGTTAGCTTCCTAGAATGCAAAACATCTGCTTTATCTACTTTTCTGTCTGAATCCTGCTCCCAGGCTGGTTCCTCAGAGTTTTGCATCTTCCTCAATCCTGTCTTTAAAGTGCAAGAAATAAATGATCACTGAAAGCCTCTGGCATTGTACACTATGCAAGCCTAAAATTTCAGAAGTGTACAGTTTATTAAATAATCCTTCTCTGTAAAGAAGTTGATATAAGGGCAACAGTATAAATTTGGTTGCCTAGCACCCTATTTTTTTCCTTTTTCACATGCTACCTGTCAAAATTAAGGATGAGCTGGGCCCCTCAGCAAACATTTGCTGAAAGCACAAAAAGATTCTAGAAAATTCACATATTTGCTGGCAAAAGGCAATGGAACAATAATCTCATCCAGACCAGCTGGAAAGCCAACCTTATAGCAGCCCTTGAAGTTAACTAGTCTTTATTCAGCTTTGTTAAACCAACTGCAGTATCATGGGCTTTTGCAGAGGCTGAATGAGAAAGGCAGCATCTGAGCAAGCTACATCAGTATATGTATTGAGTTACATTGATATACGTAGACCAGTCCACCTATTTTTAATTTTTATTTTTTGATTATTTTTTAATCTCTTTTACCACAAGAAATCAGATGTAAGGTATTCCCTTCATGATCTTCCACTGAACATCATAATCTAAGACTTACAGGGGAGCAAGGGCAAATTGTCTCATTATTGTACTTGCTAAGGTATCATCTGTGTTAGAAACACACAAGGTCAGACCTATTATGAATTGGTTAAACATGTTATTCAAACTCTTCCAAGAACTGCAACCAAATCCTTCATTAGACTAGCTGGAACAGGACCATTCGTATATTATTCTGAATCTTTGTTGTTGGCTGAATACTTCCAAATAGAGTTCCAGTTTCAATGGAAAGTTTCTGTTAACTTTTATCTCCCTTAAAAAGTGTACTGGGGGAGAAGCTATTTAGGAAAGTGCATTATTTGTAATACACCTGGTGGAAACCATAGGAAAGACGCTCATTGTATCATAATGTAGACTTTGTGCGAGATAGATGTCATAGGTCCAACTTACAAGTTATAGTTTAATATCTGAATAAGCAGTTTGTTTCGCCCATTGCTCATGGTCACTTCCCTACATCCTTCTCCACACACTAATGAAAAGGAGATTTTTTAGAGAAGTCAGAATATCTATGTGCTGATAAAACAGCAGTTGTATAGTTTCAAAGTTAAGGTCCCATCTGAAAGGGTTTCACTTTGTCAGCAGACTGCGAGGAAAATATTGTTGCTAGTTTCATTTGAGGGATTTTTGTTTACATATAAAACACTATGACAGGTATTTGATGATATTGCTATTTTACAGGTTTTAGAATGTTACCTTCCTTTTTTAGACTTTCAGTGGAAGCATTGCCCACTGGAAATTTAGCTAGTAGAATGAACAAACAGGTTATTTCTATGTTTGGAGCAGACTCATAGTCAGTCCATAACGAAGATTTCTACTAAAATTAAGGTAGAACAAAAGTCTTAGAGCTGATGTAAATCAGCTTTGTTTATTGTAATTACCAGTGACAAGTGAAGTATGTTCACATTTTGTAAAACTAAAAACATTTTAAGCTGCGTATGGCAACTGTAGCCCTTATTCTTAATGTCTCTCCACTAAAATAGTAAAAAACTAGGGTAATAAGAGAATAGACATCTAAAATTAAACTCCTAAATATATTTAGGTTTATGAGTTAAGTAGAATGGCTGTCAGGAGTGTAGTATACTCTGAAGTTTCCATAGGAAAGTAGGACCTCAAATCTTGCCCTACTTTCTTTGGCATAATACTTTCTATCCATTTTTTTGAATGTAGTTTAAGTATGATTAGTTAAAGCTGTTGTTACCAGGACAGTGTAAGAAAACTGTGCAGCTGACTGTGAATGCAATGGGAATTAAGACTTTGCCTTCTAGTTGCCCATTTGAAAATCTTTTAAACGTCAACATAGAAAGCCTTTTTCATCGTAAGCAGACAAAACAATTGAGGTTTTAGCAAGGGAAAGATGACCATGGGAATAAGAAAAGGAAACTGCCATGGCCATACTTGAATGTATTGAAATTGGGCAAGTTAGAAGAAAAGTAGAAGAAATAGCTGAACTTTTATTTAATATTTATATAAAACCAGTATATTTATGTATTGGTTGCTTTATTGGGTTTTAGAAGAGCTTGTGTACCTGACATTTTTTATTTCTCTCAACCTTAGATAACTGTTCTAAAAACAGGTTCGCACTACTATTCATTAGCAAGAAATCACTGTCTGAAAAACATTCTAGTCACTATTGCTAGTAGTATATCCCATTCTGATATCAGTACAGTTGTCCACATCACAATGAAAGTTCGACTTCAGTTTAATTGGGATTAAGCCTTGTTGGAATTAGTTTTACATTATACTATTTATCTCTTGATCTCATGTCACAACTCAAAAGGACTCTTTCTTCCATAGGACACCATTAAAATGTGCTGTTAAATCTCTTTGCGCATACTGTATGCTACAATACATATTCATTTAAGAACTATAAAACAGATAAATGAGGGGAGAAAGTCATTAGTGAAAGTATATACGCCAGTAAGCGTTCTACATGATTTTTAGTGCCAGCATGGAACAACTGAGACTTTCTCCTGCCTCTTCTTTCCCAGTCAAGATGGATGGTCTTCCAGTAGGCAGTAGCAGTCAATGTTTTTAATTAGAGGCAAACAGCAACTTCGTTGTTTTAGATTTTTTTTCCCCTCTTCCTCTTTGATCTCCTGTAAAGTCCATGATTTTAATTTTCTCCTGATACGTCCAACAGACAGTGAAACCTTTCCTCCATTTCCTCCTCTTTCTCTAACTTGGGAAGTCATTTCCATGATAACTCCTGCAGTGTTTTATCAGAGGCCTCCAAAAATGCTGGCTGCTCTAACAGAATTTAGATAGTTAAAAAAATGTTTGCAGTTAGCACTGACTGATTGTAAACCTGTCCTGTGCCGACCCCGGAGTTTTGATCCCATTCAATTCCTTTGGCTTTGTTTGTAGAGTTAAGTAGATTTAGAAAGCAAGCGTCTATTCATGACCCAACCTGATCTAGCTTTTATGAGATCATGTGAAATGCCTGGAGCAAAGTGAATTAATAAATATAACTCAGCAAGACTGATGTTCG